TCTATCCCTTTTCCTTGTGAGCCTGTTTTTGAAAAAGGATTTTGGCCTTGAAAATGTTTTAAAAAAAGGGATTGGTTTGTGAAAGAAAAACTCTTTGAAAACCATGGCTTGTTTAGTTTATGGAATCCATGGCTTGACCTGTCCATGGAATCCATAGCTTGTCCAGTCATAGAACCTTATGGCTTGCCCAGTCATGGGGCCCGCGGCTTGAGTAGTTCGTGGGGTCATAATAACGATTTCAGAAAGTTAATGATTTCTTAAACTAAGAGATCTTGTGTACTGGTAAGAGAGTCTATTGCTGTAAGCCTAGATAGGATGCAGATAGTGCATCCTCGGGGGCAGAACCCGAAACTCAGTCCGGGTAGGCGAGACACTTGGTTAGGTAAATAATTTGTACTAATTACTTGCTGAAGCCTGTAATATGGAGATTTTACATTTATTTCCTTTGAGAAAAAGGATGTGAGGTTCCGGTTGTCTGTTGGAACTGAATGTCTATTTATTTACGTACCCATTTATTTATTTACTTGCACTTTATCTATTTATTTACTTCACGTCTTTGTAAATAACATCCTACTGGGCCTTTCGCTCACGTTTTATGTTTTAAATGTATTAAATCTTTCCCAGGAGATTCTAGGAGTGGTGCACAATAGCTGAAAAATTGCTACGGAGCAGCTGAGTTGTGATGCTGTTGGAATCAAGTGAGGATCGTGGACATCCTCTTGGACAAATGTACGGAATTTGAGAAATTATGTAAACTTATGTAATATTTGGATTAACTAGACTGTGGTTGATGTCTGTTGTAATGATTATTTACATGTTCATGTATGTACGATACTGTATGTCCTGTGGGGTGGAGCCCTGTGTATTGTCAGAGGCTCGGGATTCTGTAGTAAAGTATTTATATTTTAATTCAGTCGAGTGGGGCTCGTCTGGGAATCTGCTTTATTAATCCCTAATCGAGCTCCACGTCACCCACCTCGCTTGGGGGGCGTGAAAGTATATCAGAAATTTTCATAAAACCTTTGAGATACTCTATAGATTATATTAATTTATGCACAAATAAATTAATCTCATTAATATATTTATCAAGAACTAGATTAGGAATTATACCAAACGACCGATTAGGATGATAATTTGAGTTTTTTGACCTCGAATAATCCTCACTCCAATGCTTTGTTTATAAAACCCGAGCCTTCCTTGTCAATTCCTTGGATCCACGAAGACGTGTGTGTGGGCACACCTGAAACAAAATGGGTTAACAAAAACACTCAAGAATTTCTACGAACACTAATGCATGCACGGCGTGGAATTTTTAAAGAAAAATTTTCCTCTCACAACACTTGTGAACTGGCCATTCTATAAAATTAGGAGCAAAAATTGTGTCCTATAATTTTCTGCTATCTCCTTATTTATAGATTAGTAGTTTGACTCCTAGAATGAGTCTTGCCTTTATCTCCAAGATAAACCTTATCTATTTTCTCCCACTTTAAATTTAATTTTGAAACAAAATCTCTCATCCTTATCCATCCATTGTGGCTGGACAAGATAGGGAATCTTATCCCTGTGGTAGGCGCCAAATCCAGATATGAAAGGAAGAGAAAATCATCCTTTATTCTGCAGTTCAATTTTGACTCAAATTCAAATTCAAATTTAAGTCAAACTTAAATTAATTTGAATTATTAATTGAACAACTTATCAAATAAGTTTAAATGGATACATCTAGATGTGTTCACACTGTGTGCTCACACTATGTGTTCACATTGTGTGTTCACACTGTGCCTTACGTTCACACTATGTGAACACTTCACATAAGAGATCCAAAATTCAAATTTAAATTTAAAGAATCACATTATTTAATATATAATTAATTCTCAATTAATTATTTTTGAGTGTTATATTTTTAGAATTCTATAATTCTAAAATTTTAATTTTGTCTTTTATGTCTAGTAGAATTACTAGGACGATGCGGATACTAATGAACCTATATTTCTGACCTCCAATAAAGTTAATAATTAATTAAACACTTTAATTAATTAATTAATTCTATTAATTCTAATAGTTACTCCACTATAAAATTGGAATTGCACTCTTGAAATTATAGACATAAATTACTTCTAAACCATGAAGTGTCCACGTGATGTAGTCACTGCATATAGATCAATCCTCCATAAATAATTCATAATTAGAGCTAGGTGAAATCCGTTAACCTCTCTAATTACATCTTTATCTTTGAGTACCATTGATTCTCTAATGGACCATGATTCATAAAATAAATTCATGCATCGGAGCTCCTACTAGTCCAAGTACCGAATCAACCCTCAAGAGAATTATTTATCTACTTTTTTCTCAAGTAGGAATGGATTCCATCTCGTATAATAACATTCCTGGCTACCTACTTCATCATGTCTCCATAATACAAGAAATATGATTCAAGATCTCAAAATATGTACCGAGTAAATCAAAAGACACAAATTCATAAATAGGAGTCTGCTAAGAACTTATGATTAAGATCATTCAATATATGACCATCGGTAGACTTAATTAGAATTTCTATACTTAACGGAAATTATTAGAAATTCATATTGTGTCTGTGTCCTTGTTCCACATAATTTCATTATGCGTAATATACTCATTCAATATCTTGCCTTATTAAGAATGCGGATAACACCGTTCCATTCTAAATGGAAATGACATAAATTAGTAATGTTTAAATTAAAGATTATGAACTTTAATTAAATTCATTACGAACACCATTTGTGATTATTATCCTTAAATATTATCCTCTTGCATATAACACTTCTATACAACGTTTAAGGTCACATAAATAATCATGAAATTATCATTGATATTCACAAAATATTCATAAATATATGCACATAAAATAATGAATAAACTATTTTATTAAATAAATAATAAATATCTTATTATATCTCATGCTTCTAGGACACCATTCTAAACAGCAACATCAAGAACAACCAAGCCTTTATTAACAGTTACTTGATATATATCAACAATAGAAGAAAAATACATCATCATGACCAAAAGAATATTACAAGCTAAAAATTTTTTTGGCTCTCGACAGAAGAACAAATAAGGCAAAAGATGAAGTTAAGTTAATACCTAAATAACAACGAGCAAAACAACATAAATGTCGAGAACAAATAAGGCAAAAGATAAAGTTAAGTTATACCTAAATAACAATAAGCAAAACAACATAAATACTGAACAACGATATAAAAAAAATCGACACCAAATAATAACATATTCATAAAAAACATAATGAAATGAACAGATAAGCCAAGAAATGAAGAAACTCACATAACAAATGCAGATAAAATTATAAAGCAATATTTTAAAACAGTTCAAAAATAAAGGTAGGAAAAAAATTGAATACCTCAATCGATGAAGCACAATGAACATGATAGATCCAACAAAACAACTAAAATTACTGAGTAGGAGAAATATATGAACTGAATATCCGAAAGACAGTGAAAATAATAATAGAAGCCTAGTATCAGTAAGATTTTTAAACATTAAGAAACAGAGAACACATAAGATGATAAATCGTAATATCTAAAGAACGAAAACAAAGAGAAAGTGAGGAATTATAGCAATAAAAAAACATTCATTATATACACAAAGTTATCAAAATCTCGCTCAATCTCCGATACAAATTCCTGTAAAGCAAAATAAATCGGAATAATGATTAATCAACTACAGCTGTCATGAAGCATGAAGACGACCGCAAAACACAACCAATAAATAACAGATAATGAGAGATTAGATATGCATTATACAAAACTCAAGCATAAGAAATGCACGTGTCAGAATAAAACATTAACATGAACATTAACACAACAAGATGCTAATAATTGTGCATAATCGCTTAAAATCAAAAATTTTAATAAAAAATATCAATAAAGAGTAAACAGGAACAGATAAAAGCCAAAAATCACAAATTAAAAAAAATAAAAAAAGAAAACCGAAAAAATTAAAAGTTTTCCAAAATAAGAAATTTAGAGAAATAAAGCAAAAAAAAAAAATCAACAAAGACTAAACATGAACAAAAAAGAGCACAAAAATAAGAAATAAAAAGGGGAAAAAAGGGGGAAAACCCCCAAAAGAAAAAGTAAACAAGAAATATTTCTGAATGCTTTTGCAAGAAAAACATGCAAAGAAAAATCAGGTAAACAAAAAAAAAAAATCAGAATAGAACAACATAACCCCAAAAAACATAAAACATCAAGACGAAGAGATGAAACGGTAAAAGGAAAAAAAAATTTCTGAAGTAGATACGAAAAAAATAAAAAACCATATTAGTGCAGAAAAGAAGAAAACAACAAAACTCAAAACATCCAAAAAGATCAAAAGAGAAGAAACGGAAGAAAAAAAAATGTCGAAACAGATCGAGAAGAAAAAAATGAAGAAACAAAAAACCATATCAATGTAAAGAAGAAGAAAAAACAAAACCCAAAACACCTAAAAAGATAAAAGGCGAAGAGAAGAAACGGTGGAAGTGCGAAACTGTGCTCCAGAAGAGAAGAAAAAAAAGAAAGACCTAGAAGGTAGTCGAGGACAAAAAATAAGACCTGTTTCTAATCCCTGTTGTTCCCCTATCTAAAAAAAGTAATTTAAGAAAAAAACATAATTGTGTGTAGGAAATAGACGAAAAGGCTAGTAAAAAACATGTGGTAAAAAAAGTGCAAAGGGCAAAACAATAAATATATATTTAAGAGGTTAAAAAGACATCACTGTTCATAATACTGTACAATGAACAATAACACCTCAGACTCTCTATTAGAATATGTATAATGTTCTGATTCCCACCATTCTCACTAGGGGTGTAATTCGGCCAGGCAGGGTCGGGTTGAGCCAAAAAATTGAGCCGACCCGCTCAGTGCGGGTTGAGAAAACTTTGGATCACAATACTCTTTTAAGCCCACAAACCCGCAACCTGTCGGGTGACCTCGGGTAGGCTCGGGTTAATCGGATTACTCGAGTTACTCGGGTTGGTGGAGAGGAATGCTTAACAAAGTGAGGAGGGTGTTTGATTCAATGCCGGAGAGGAATGTGATTTCATGGACGACAATGGTAAGAGGGTATGTGCAAGAGGGGATGGTATCTGAGGCAGGGTCACTCTTTTGGCAGATGCCTGAAAAGAATGTCGTATCGTGGACGGTGATGTTGGGCGGCCTAATACAAGAGAGACGTGTTGATGATGCTCGTCGGCTGTTTGATGAAATGCCTGAGACGGATGTGGTAGCGAGGACTAACATGATTAACGGGTATTGCCAGGAAGGTCGTTTGGCTGAGGCCAGGGAGATTTTTGATGAGATGCCACGTAAAAATGTCATTTCTTGGACAACGATGATACGTGGGTACACACAAAATCAACGAGTAGATGTTGCTAGAAAGCTATTCGAAGTCATGCCTGAGAAAAATGAGGTGTCGTGGACCGCGATGCTGATGGGGTACACTCAATGTGGGTGGATACAGGAAGCTTCAGAGCTTTTTGATGCAATGCCACTAAAGCCAGCTGTCGCTTGCAACACCATGATTCTTGGGTTTGGCCAAATTGGGGAGGTAGGTAAAGCAATGTGGGTATTTGACCATATGAGAGAGAAGGATGAAGGGACATGGAACACTATGATCACAGGTTATGTGAAACACTATGATCACGGGTCGGGTCCGGGCAAAGCGGGTTTAAAATGTCCGCCCGCCCCCTAATCCGCACAGTGCGGGTTGGGACTATTTGGATCCGGATTTAAAAAAAAAAAAAAAAAACCTACGCTTTCGGGTCGGGTCAGGTCGGACGGGTTATTCAGGTTCGGGCTCATTTCTTACCCCCCTAATTCTCACCTTACTTGGCGTGGGCCCCACTTTTAAGATTCTGGCCATTTTCACCTTACTTGACGTGGGTCCCACTTCCTCCAAACAAATAAATACACATGCAAATGGCATTCAGCCTCACCAAATAAACAAATAAATTATTTAAATATGAAAAACATAGCTAAACAAAACCCATTTCCAATACGATTCTCAGCTCCGTCGTGTGCGTTCCAAATAATTATCCCAAAACATACATAAAGAAGGGTTCTTTTTAACCTCATTATTATTTTGTATTTTTTAATATATTTTTGGTCAGGTTTTTATTTCATATGGCTATAATAAATTTTTAATCATTATCAACTTCAAAAACATGAATTTACCAATGAGAGAAAAAAAAGTCCAATTCAAATGAGTTGTTCTTAGACATCCAAACACAAATTCGGATTTAAAAAATTACAGAATTTATTTTTAAGAGTGTATAGATCGGATTTTTACCCCTCATTCTTGATTAATACACTTTTACTAGTATAATTATTTGACTAAAAAAGTTATTAGTCAAGAGTAAAGAATATAAATTCTGACACATACACTTTTAAATGGCATTTGTTTCATTTCTCCATTCGGATTTTATTCCTTGTTCGGATTAAAAGTTTTACTGTGCATGCACACGCCAGTTCAAACTACTGTTTAAGCCATATTGTCCGGATTTTTCTGTTTAAATTAAAAAAGTTTAAATCAACACAACTCGAATAAGCGAATCAAACAAGACATTAGTTTTCTAAGGCACTTTTCAAATCTACGTTTTGATTAAACACCAGATTTTGTTAATTTGTTGGTATTAGGAGTGACACTAATCTTCAATATCATGTTGGCTTGTGTTAAAGTCTAACCTGTAGGAGGAGAAAGCAAACTTGAGCTTAAACCCAAAAGTTTTTGGTTTTTTTTTCTTTTTTTTAATACTTTAACGGAAGACAATATGATGTTGTTTGTGGAATCAAACAGCTAATGGTTTTAATATATGCAGATTAAGTGCAGCTGATCTTCAAGATTGAAGGCAATTTCTTTAAGGGAATGTTTATGTTGTGTTTTAACATGTGTCTCATGGTTGCTAAGATTGAATAGCGATTGAGTTTGTTCTTCTGTCTTGATTGCAAAAAGCAGGAAGCCTCATCTGCAGAGGACACAATTGCTTGAGAAACTCAAGTCTTCAATGAGTTAAGGTCTAAAGGTAATTAATTCCATAAAACGTTTATTTAGGTTTCATATTAATTCAAATTTAGTTTGTTTAGATATTGGGAGTTGTCATAAGCACTACTTTAGTCATGCTTGATAAGCACTAATTAATTTTGATAAGTTCAAATTTCTTATTTTTAACTCATGCTTTGGGCAGTTTGTAATATCTAGTTTGGTAAGCATTACACGATAAGCATCACAAAAACAGAATAGTGCTTTTTAAAGGTGTATCGTGAGGTTCCATGTTGTTAATTTCCTTATTTTATATACTTTGGTTTATTGGGTTATGAAGAAAACAATAGTATAGTTTTTGAAGTTCTGCATCCATCTAAAAAGGCCATGGTTATTATCAGTTGCTTGGTTAGATTTTTAGGTTGTAATAAGCATTTTGTGAAGATATGTATGTGCAGGGTAATTTTTAGATTTTAAGAGTAATTTAAGTAGCTTTTTCAATATATAGATATAAGATATTTTTTGGTAAATAATTTTTTTCTTGCAGGATATAAATTTTTTTGAAGGCTGAAAGCAAGCATCCGAATACAAAAGGATCTGCAATATGATCTTTTTTTTTTTTTTTGGTTGAAAGCAATATGATTTGTACCTATAGTACTGCACACAAGGATTCTTTCATATTCTGACTATAATTTTGATTGTATTTTTATATTTTAACATTGTATTGAATATTCTTTTGTTACGTCCAATGGAAAAACATTATTTTAGCAAACAATTTTGATTTTTGTGGAATATCATAAATAGGAAAAAATTAAATTAGATATTGATTTTTGAAAAATTAAAAGTAGTTTTTAGTAACACAATTTCAATTGTTGCTAGATAGCAAGCGTTTAGCCACATATTTTAGACTTTTAGCAACAGAAAACATGTGTTGCAAAATAGTACTTTTACCAACACAAGGGCTTTTTTACCAGGCAAGTTTTTTATTTTTAGCAACACAAAAATTATGTCGCTAAATCATAGTTTTGGCCATATAATCCATATTGTCAATAAAGATTTTCCGCCACTCATCTAAGGTCACGCTCTCGCCACACGAATTTTGATGTTGCTAAAATCCTTCAACCACGGTTTAAAAACTTTTAGCCACACTTTTATCATGGCCGAATTTCTCAAGGGCCATTTAGCAAATTTCGTTTTCATTTTTACTCCTCTCCAAGTTTGCCTATAAATAAGAGTGGCTGGAGATCTAACTAGCTCATATTCATTTTTCTCCTATGAGCACCACAATTCAAAGAAAAGCACTTTTTTTTTTCTCCTTCAAGCTCAAGAAAAATGCATCTCTTAGTGATAGAAGTTGGTAGATCAAATTAAAGATTAGTTTGGGTAAGTCACCATCCAATCTCCTAAGTCACTTTTCAAAGATTCTTTGTGTTTTGAGCAAAAACCTAAGAGTTAGTTTTTCTTCCTTTTGAGGTAAAGATCAATGTATAGGAAGGGATGAGATTCTCAAGAAGATCTAGGCGCCAACTTAAAGTATACCTCAAATTTGTTAAGAATCTCAAACTTGAAAGCGTGCGTTGATTTTGTGTAGAAATGGCATATTGAATAGATTATTTGCATCTAGAAATTTTGATTCTGAGGGTATGTGATATAAGCACACTGTCGCTGTATTTTATGTCCTAAATATGATATTTGGAAACAAGAAATGTGAAAATATGGTAAAAACAAAATAATTTTTGTAGTAAATTAGAAATAGTCTTGTGAAAACCTAAAAGTTTTTACTAGTTTGGTATGAGATATAAGATTTGGCATCAAAAATAGTTATTATGGCATGCAGATATGAGCTCTATACTGCTTATATATGATTTATTAAAACCTTGAAAGTTTGGCATAGAAACGAAAAGTTTTCGAAAACAACGAGGACGAAATACCCCTGGGCTTAAAAAAGTGCACACTTTCAAAGGAAGTCCTAAATAGAGGCCGAATTAGGCTTAGACAAAAACAGAGAGGTTGCAGATATGGATGAGTGGAATAAGTTTCATGTTCAAAGTTTTTACAGAGTCTATTTAGGTTGATAGATTGTTAGAATCTAAGATCACTTGACCGAACTTTGACTGAAGCAAAATGATGCACAAAATTAGATTTAGCCTTAGGCCTGTTTAGGTTTTTTTTTTTTTTTTTTTTTTTTTTTTCTTTGTAATAAAATGATTCTTTTGGGGAGAGAAAAGAAATTGGTCGGCAAAATTGTCAAATTTTCTATTAATAGGGTCAAAACCGTAAGTTTGGAAAAAATGTAGGTCAATATGTAATGGAGAGTCCATAACCTCAGCAAGGGACCTAAAAAGTCGAAACTAGAATCTATGGGCCCGTTTGTTTCTATTTTCATTTTCGTTTTTCACGTTTTCCGAGAAGAAAAAATAAAAACGGGAAATGAAAATGTGTTTGGGAAGAATCCGTACTAAAATAAAAAACAAAAACGTTTTTAGATTTTTCCCAAAAACTCATTTTTTTCTAAAAACGGATGAAATCCGTTTTCATTTTCCTTTTCATTTTCTCCTCGTTCTTCTCTGTCTTCTCCGACTGCACACCACCACCAAAATGAGAAATCCTTCGAAACCCATTTCTAGATATAATAATGTTTATTTAATATATTATTATTTTTCTACAAGGGTAACAGTCTCAACCAAAGCCGGAAACTCCAATACAACACAAATCTCCCTAGAGGATCACTAGAGGTAAACATAGCTTGACCCAATTAAGATATGTGCAAGCTTTTGAAAATACCCCTTAAATAAAGTCTTCTTTTATTTATACCCCTTAACATTAATCTATATATTTCTATTTTTTAGACTAAAACTACTCAATAAGTAGAGTTTTTGAAAATGGATACTTTTAGTAGAATCTAAATATGCCAAGAACCCAAATAAAAAATAAAATAACCCATAGGTTAAAAAAAAAAGACCTAATAGGTTATGAGGATAGAACCCAACCCATAAGACCCAATCCAACCTTAAAAATGTTTGAAGATTGGAATGGGCCAAAAAGGACCTAGAGGGTAACCTAGAGGGAAGTGAGAAGTATACTTACAAGATATTAACTTAATTAAATTTCGAGGTCATTAAGTACCTGTTGGATTCCCAAATACTCCCTTGTGTTATTTTGAGTGCACATGCGGGAGGTTTCTGGTTTTTCCCTTATTTGGTTGCCACGAATCCGGGTTATCATTATTATTTTTTTTAGAGGACATTATGGGCATTTAACATTCCAAACCGACCAAATGAAACATTCCAGATAGGCCTTTGCTCTATATGGATGAGGCGCGCCAAAACCTCCTCGCAACTGCCAACGTCGACTCATGGCCTTCCCTTTATCCTCCGCCATTTTCTCCCATAACATCTCTCTCAATGTCTTCTTCACTCCTTCTCCTCGGAGGCCAACTTCAATGCCGACCCGTCTTATGTTTTGCTTCAATCAAACGCCTAGAAAAGACCCACAAAGATCAGGCCGTCTCAGAATTCCTTGCACCTTCGGAAAGGATCTTCACAAGGTTCGCTTTGATTGTTCATCTTACTAATTATGCGTTCTTCAACAGTTATGGCTTGTGGGGTTTGAATAAACTTTGTTGGGTTGTGAAAAAATTAGCTGAAAATTGATATATTAGTATTTTCTATAGCAATAACTGTATTTCAGTTGAAACCCACAAAGGAAATCAAAAACAGTAATGTGGGTGCTTCGAGGCGCAATCTTTGTGGCTTTCTGATTTCAATTATATAAGTTTGAATTTCTTATCTAACAGAGTAGTATGGGATTTTTTCTTTTCTTTTCTTTTCTTTTCTTTCTTTTCCCAGTGTAATCTGTATTTAAATACACATTTTAGAATCGAGTAAATTTATTAATGTGAAATCTAGCTAAAATCTAATAGCTCAACACAGTGTTGGAAGTTTTGAGGTGTGTGATTGGAAGAAGAGATAAACGATTGGTAATTGAGAATTAAATCCACTTTCTGAAATGAGTTTTCAGTAATATTGTAGGAACTGGCAAACCAACATGATGTTCCTCTCAACACATCAACTAACAGGCATAACAAGAAACTTGAGAAACTGATTGCTGTGATACTATTGCTTGTTCAAGCATCTTCTCCGCTTCCGTTTCTTGGTTGGGGCTCTTGGTATGCACCTCCCGCAAACGCGGTTCTATATTCTCCTGATACCAAAGTTCCAAGAACAGGAGAATTAGCACTGAGGAGGGCTATCCCTGCAAACACAAACATGAAATCTATACAGGTTATTGTTGGTTACTTAGATTATATTTTATGGTTTTTTTTTAAGATCAGTTCAGTTTTCTGACTATCTTGTTTATGTTGGTAGGATTCTCTTGAGGACATATCATACTTGTTAAGAATTCCACAAAGAAAGCCTTATGGAACCATGGAAGGCAATGTGAAGAAAGCTTTAAAGGTATGTATCACTTTCATATTTTTTTTTCCTTAATCTTATTAATTCATTGATTTTGAGAAGTAAAGAAATTCTTCTCGGATCTCCTAACGGGATGGTACTTAATTTTGTTATAGTTATGTTGTCCCTGTTGTAGTTTTTGTGGGTTTTGTTTGTTAAGTACTTTTGGTTTTGACTGTTTGGTTTGCTTTGAGGACCCTTGTCCTCTGGTGTTTTTATTTTCATTTTTAATAAAATTCTCATTTCTAATAAGAAAAAAAGAAATTCCACTACTAAGTTTTGCATTTTTGAAGATTGTGATGGGATTAATTGTTGAATGAGGTTCCGAGACATTAAGATGGTTCTGATAATCATAAAAGAGAGCTGTTCCTACGTTTTCTGCTACAAGTCATTCAGAATCTGACATCCCTTTGTTTTAAAGTTATTTGGTTCGCACAGCATGGCGCCTCAGAGACAATTGTTTGGCTTTCCAATTTATCTCCATATTGCAAAGAAATCTAAGTTTTTCTTTTTGTTTTTTGATTTGCAATTTCCAGTCGCATTCCATATGGATCTGAAGTGAAAATGCTCCTGATTTTCTTAATCTCTCAGGATTTCGTTGTTTGTTCATCCCACTTTTTATTTTTTTATTTTTTTTTATTATCTGTTCAATTTCATTTGCATGTAGCTCCATCTCTTGATGTTATATGGTTGACTGCTCGATCTTTTCCCCCTCTCTTATATAATTTCTTTTTCCTAATTCAGATTGCAATAGATGAAAAGGATTCTATTTTAGCTAGTATACCTGCAGATCTGAAGGAAAAGGGTTCAACATTGTATGCATCTCTTATTGATGGAAAGGTATACAAAGGTACTTTGGCAGAAAGCGCGGTTTGTGAGAAGGGCAACTTTAGTTGTACAAAATTAACCTTAGGGAGAAGAAGAAAACAATGAAATCGACATGCAAGTCATTTTGTTAGCTTTGCGTCAATATTTATATACTTGGGTATCTTATCATTGCATTGAATTGGAAATTTTAAGTAAATGGACAGTAAGAGTTCTATCATGGGACAATAATTAGGCTAAAAAATGAAGACTTGCTTGTGTAAACTACAATTCAGTCATGGTTTGTTGCAGAAACTACCAATATGATATGGAATTTCTCTTGATACACAGGAGGGATTAAAAGCTCTTATTGCTTCCATCAAGGATCAGGATCCTGATAAAGTATCTGTCGGCCTTGCATCTTCACTGGATACGGTTGCTGAACTGGAGCTGTTACAGGTAATGAACATAATCAATAGCAACAAAGAGTTCCTCTCAAGTCTCATACTAAATATCAATATTTTGACTTAGTTTCTTAAAGTCTCAAAGCTATGGTAGGTAAATATCTTCAACAAGATAAGAATTCTTACTCAAACAAGACAGTGTGTTTATTTGTTTACTGTTTGAATAGTACAAGTCACTTTTCTAATGACTATACACCAAATCGAGGCAGCACTTACTATGTTCATGGGTCAGTTTAAGTGAATAGTTTCAATGTCTGATGGGAGGAGTGAGAAAATAGATGTGTATTTACAGGCCAAGCTAACTCACCAGCTCATCCCATAGCCGTAGAGATGAATAGCCCAACCAAAGACGTTGGTCTAACTATCTTACAATTGAATTACGGTGGGAAACACCAGAAGCTATAAATCATCTAGTTAGTGCAGATTCAGGCTGTGTGTTGTGTGATTCCGCAAGTGCACGGATCGTACAAGTAATAAAGTGTACTGGAGAACGGATATCGTTCCCATGGAGATTGAATCACCAATAATATAGTGTAGAAATCATGCAAACACCAAATTAAGTGAAGCAATAAACTAAACAAAAATTCACTAAAATGATGTAAAGAAATAAGTGTAACATAAATGAAGCCAAATGTGATAGAAATGACAAAAATGCAGCTATGGGTTGTAATTAGTGATTTAAACAAACTAGGATTGCTAATTTCCCCTCAGTAGCAAGTTTGATAGTAAATGCTGTAGGAAATGCTATAGCATTATTACTGTTAATCGCAGCATAAAATTCTTCGGAATTAATTATGACTAAAAATTCTTCAAACCATTTCCAGCATATTCCTATGTGAATCTAGTTCTCAGAATGCAAATTTCAGTACCGGTTTCAATGAGTTATGCAAGATGAACAATATATTCCTATACCATTCATAAATCAATAAACTTAAACAAGAATATTGAACTTGCATCATCCATGCTAGATCCAACTCAAATTAGCCTTGCCAGTATTAATCTAAGTCTTGTATCCTATAGTTGATGGCCAGTCAAAACTAGAAATAAGCAGTAAACACACATGGATGAACATGAATAAAAGCTCAAGCACATTCACAAATTAGCCTTCATTCTTACAGCCTTGGTTCCATCAATAATCCTAGCAAGAAATTACTTAGCTCATAATTGGAATTACAAGAACCAAATAATCACTATAATTCATTGTTCAACAAAATTGCAAATCTAAAGAGAAATTAAATGCAACAGATGAGATAGAAGAGAGATTCAGCTGGTTTGGAGCTTTTAGCATTTGCCCCCTCCTTTGCTTTCTTCAAGCAAGCTTCCACAGGATGAAGAAGACTGGAAATCACCTCCTCCCCATACTACTCTCCTTTCTCTCTGTATACCCCTTTTTGCTCTCTGCTTTTCTTCTCTCTTCGGTCCCTTTTTTTTCTCTCTTCTCGGGTTCTTTTTTTCTTTCTTCTCTGGTTCTTTTTTTCTTTCTTCTCTGGTTCTTTTTTCTTCCCTCTTGGCGGCGCTTCTTTTCTTCTGGAGGTTCTCTATTCTTCTTTAGGGCACCAAGCAAGGACACTATTGTGTCACCAGGTGATTGGTTTAGGCAGCAAATGACATGTGCACAACACTTATCCTCGTGTACTTTATTTTATTTCTTGTGTTGAGTCATGCGCTGATGTCACCACTAACTGCTTGTTACCAAATTTTGCTGCAGCAATGCTGCAGCATTTTTCTTCACAATTCCTGTAGTTCACACCAACGTACCTTGGACACAAATCATGCATTTTTTTGATTCAATTTTCTTCATAAACACCACAGAAATAACACAAACAAATCTTAGCAGAGTGTATCATAAGAACCAAAAGTTGAACAAATAAAACAAAAAAACAAACAATTAAGCCTTTGGATTAGCCAGCTATAATCCTAGAATTGCCTAAAATAACTCTAATTCCTAGAGTCATCACTGTGTCAGAGAGAAATTGGTGTTCTATGCTCCATCAACTTACCGATCATCTTTCTCCTAAGTTATTGGATGGAATTATTGAAGGTGGGCTAGAATCTTGGTTAGTAATTGGGCTGTAAATAAATTGGCCGAAACAAATGAAGAGGTAAGCTTCATTAGTTAAAAACTGGTACCGCTTAATGTAGTTAAAGATAAGTAAAGGCGTGTGCAAAATCACAGCTTCTTCTTGTCTGTTACAGGCTCCGGGATTGTCATTTCTGTTGCCCGAGCTATACTTGAAATACCCCAGGTCAGTGTTAAGAAGTTAAATGATTAGTAAATCGGCATACATGCATTAAATTCAATGAAACAAACTCTCCTTTACTATGATACAGTTCTTGTTTATGTTCATTATTTTCATATCTAATATTTCAATTAGATTGGTTTGGTTTCTTAGGTTTATTTTCACTTCTAGCTTATAAAACGCGAATTATATGAAGGTTCAAATTATCATACAGTTTGTTTCTTGCTGGACATGAGATATCCACCTATGTTATACTGTCACGCTGACTTATGAGCTCCCAACATCCATTTAACGCATCTCATTTTCTAATTAATATTTTAAATAGAATATCAATATGTTTCTTTTCTAGTGATTTTTAGGCTATCAGGGAGGGGAATAGTTGAATTTACTGTTGAGAAAGGAGACGGTTCGTCATTTTCTCCAGAATCTGGTGGTGAACCCAGAAAGACTGCCACAATACAGGTATTGCAAATCTCACTTCGTGTTGATACATTGTGGATATGTATTGAAAGAAACATTAATTAGGTGCTGAAGATGTGCTTGAAAAGCTGTTTGTTGGTATTATGTACTGTAATAGTTCCAATATCAAGTTATTGTTTTCATCTGCAGGTTGTCATAGACGGATATTCAGCGCCCTTAACAGCAGGGAATTTCACAAAACTGGTAAGGTAGTTGAACCTCCCTTTGGCCTCGTCCCTGTGACATGATTTATAGATAAGATGGCCTCTCATTGTTCTGGTTTATTATGCTTAACCCCTTTGCATTCAAACCATATAAATGCTTGCGTTATACCTATGATTTCCGAGGACAAGATTGAACTGAGGAACAAACAAAAAAGAGTTTAGGGTTCAATGAGTGTGTGTGTGTGTGTGTGTGTGGGTGTGGGTGTATATATATGTGTGTGTGCGTTTGTCAAGTCACTTTTACTGGTATTTTATCTTGTTATAACTTTCCAATTAGAATTCGATGGGCCTTCTTTCATGTCATCTAAGTAACACTTCTGTTTAGTACTCTTTGGTATCATTTTTTTCCCCCTTTTTGGTGAATTTATATATTTCTTCAGGTAATTGATGGTGCGTATAATGGAACAAAGCTCAACTGCACTGACCAAGCCATTCTCTCAGACAATGGACTTGACAAGAACAAGGGTTATAGTGTTCCCTTAGAAATAATGCCATTCGGGCAGTTTGAACCTTTGTATAAAACAACATTGAGTGTACAGGTATATCTATATCTTATTCCATTTCTGATCAACCATCCTAGTTGACAAGGCATTCCCTAATTGTAAGGTAGCCTTATCTTATTTTGTATGACATTTCTTTTTCTTTCCCTTCATCAAAGGATGGTGAATTGCCAGTTCTACCCCTATCGGTATATGGAGCAGTTGTCATGGCTCATAGTGAAGTCTCTGAGGAGTACTCATCACCAAATCAGTTTTTCTTTTATCTATACGATAAAAGAAATGTAAGTCTAATATGAGCTGATCATATGTTCCATAAGGGCTTATTTGATATGTTGTACCTCACAATACTTTAAAAGGCCTTCTGCGTGAGTTATTTATGTTCTTGCATCTCTGTTGAAAACTCAGAGTTGACCCAATTATTTTCCTCTATTTACAATTATATAACATGGAAGAATTACACATATAATATCATTTGATACTGTTTTACCTATATTTTAGTTCTGCTTTATACATATATTTCCCTATTTATATCAAAACCAAGGTGACAAGTTTTTCTTTCGCTCTAGAAAAGTAGTAAAACTAATTGTTTGCTCCTATATAGGCTGGCTTGGGAGGATTGTCGTTTGATGAAGGACAGTTTTCTGTTTTTGGGTATGTCTCTTAACCCCAAATTCTTTCTTATATTGGTAATTCAAAAAGTACCTTGCATGAAAACTTTGTTGTTTTTTATGTCTTCTTCTTGATATTGAATTTCAATATGCAGATATACAACTGTAGGGAGAGATATTCTCCCACAGATAAAGACAGGAGATGTGATCAAATCCGCGAAGCTCGTGGAAGGGGAAGATCGCCTCATTTTGCCCATTGAGAGTTGATTATTTTCTCTTGTTAAATTAGGACCACAATCTCATTCTTTGTATTTGTTTAAGTTTTAGATTCTAGCAGCCTGATTTTCTTGGTGCAGGTTGTGTTTCATGTTTGTGTGCCATTTTTCTTGTTGGAATTTTTGTGCTTCTACAAGTCTCTTTCACCATATAATAAGCTTAGCGTATCACAATTTATACCTTTTCATTCCTTTCTATACTTTTTATTATTGTTTTGAGGTAACTCAAAAGGATTTGTTTCTCTGTCTATTTCAGAATTTATATAATGGAAATAATTTCCTGTTTATGATTAGTTGATTTCCTTGAGATAATCTCTTTGACCATATAATAGTTTCTCTACATGGAAAGGAAGAAAACTGAATTTTTTTTTTTAATTTTTTTATTGTTGCTTAGTATGATGAGAGGAAAGAAAATAGGTAACAGGCTAAATGATTATTTTACTAATTATTTGATATTAATTTAGCTTTAAAATCGGGACAAAAAAGTTATTTTTGTCATCAATGGGTGGATTTAAGTTTTCCATCTAATATTGGAGAGATGAAAATTTGTGAACCCCACTATAATTTTTATCCAAACTATTTTCCTTACCCTCATCTTTATCATTTTTCATCCAATAATTCTTCCCCCACTTTCTTCCTACCTCGTTTCCATCATACCATATATAGCATTAGAGGGAACGTGTTATTATGAATAGTTGAAACTTTTGACATCGTAATGCAGAGGACAAGGTAGCATTAATCAATAATCAATTCTATACAATACAAGATAAGTTATCATTGTTTTATGTTAGAAGGTTGTATTTAAGGATTAGAAAATAAAATCTTAATTATCGCATTTCTTAAAATACATGACATCTACGATAGAGGATGATTAAAACACTGAATTTTTTAAATACATTTATCTCTTTTTAGAATTGTAATTTCCATAGTTAATTTTCTATCATAAATAATCTTAGAAATGAGAAAATGTCTCATCAAGAGTCTCTCCTTTGAATTTTGGGACGAAAACCGTTAAATTGCATGACAATTGGGTTATTTTAAAGAATTAAGAATAATTTATGTGTGTGTATTTTCAATTGTTCTCTTTAAAATTAGTACTGACTTTTAATTTTCTTTACAGCATTAGTCTTAATTCATTTAGTGTACTCTCTCTCTCTCTCTCTCTCTGTGTTTTGCTAGAGAATTAGTTAGCGATTTAACTCTTTATATCAACTTATCAATCTTGTACTGAACTTGTTCTTTTTTACATCAAGAAAAGTTAGGTCGTTCGGATTTTACAACCACAAAATGGTTCAAAAAGTCCAGCACCTTGAATATCAGTAGTCCAAAGGAGACAAAAATAGAATCTACTTGTGTAAATTATGACCATAACAATCGTATGGCTTGGAGAATTCCCCCAGAGAAATATTTTTGTTGTATAAGATTATCTGGAAAATCGTCTTGATGAGACATTTCTCTTTCACTTCAAAGATTAAGTGGCCCAGTTCTGGGCCCACCCTAGCACAACTTGCCGGTAGTTAATGGGCTACACCGAAGGTAGATCCCAAGGGGTGCAATAAATGAGTTCATGGCGGTTTAGTTTATGAGCTATGACCTATATAAAAATTTTTTATTGTAATAAAAAATTGGATACGATAATTTTTGAAAATTTTTTACTATACCAAAACTTAAATTTTAAACTTTATTGATTTAGGTTTGCATAAAAATGTTTTAGGTAAAAAAAACATAAAATAGTACTAGTTAGAAGTAAGGGGTTAAAATTTAATACGTGTAGCTACCTTTAGGCTATGTTTAGTATGATAATTTAAATCAGAGTGATTTTAGTTTTAATTTTAAAATGAGAATTATAATTTATGGTTTTGGGTCTAATCATGATTCTGAAATTAAAATCAGAATCAGGGGTTTGAACCATTTTAAACCAAGAGAGGAGGTAGTTCTAAAACTAGAGATAATTTTAGTTTAAAACATCACATCAGGATTCAAATCTTGAATCAAAACCATTCAAACTAAACACTGATTTTTAAATCTTGAACTAAAACTATTTTTTACTTTTATAAACAAATAAAAATTTGAACTAGAATCATGATTTTGATTTAAAACTCTGGAACCAAACGCTACCTTATAATTTTTCGTCTTCTATAAATATTGACGTTTTTTTTTTGTTGATTTTTCCAATCCATTAATTTTTCTGATAAACAGCCACATGTGGACATGTGGACCACATTCAATGTCTAAACTAGCCTATGCGTTACATTTCACGATGTCAACCTACACCATCAAACCTTAACAAATCCTGTCCGTTGAAAAAATAATCCACCCAACTCAATCTCCCTCGAAAACGAAAAACATGTTAATCACCAACAAGTAGGACTAATCACCAAAATCTGACTTGTGTTACAACGTAAAACCAGTAGTTTGCGACGCACTTGATTGCCCCACCAATCATTAGACCTATAAAATTCTTCCTCTTCGTAATTTTCCAACTCGGACAAACACAAAGTGGTAGTTAGCTCGTAACTCAGTTTTTTTCCCAACTCGGTTGGCGTGACTAAGCTCAGGGCAGCCATGGCGTCCGTCAACACCATAGCACCCCAGAGCTTCCTCTCCATTAGCAAACCCAAGCCGAAGCCTACAAACGCCTATCCAAAATCCATCCCTTGCTCCAACTTCCCCAATCATTCAATTTTCTCGAGAAACAAACAGAAAGTAAAAGGATGGGCCTTGAACTCGGTGGTGAACGAAGAGCTCGACGTGATACCCGTCCAGAGCTCGGACGGCACGGACCAGCAGGAGGGCGTGGTGGTGAGCCGAGTCGAGGGAGGCGGGTTGGAGAGCGAGTTGGCGAGTCAGGTCGGCGGGTTTGTGTCCGAAGGGAGGTTCTCGTTCGAAGGTGGGGCCGAGCTAGGGTTTGGATCGGGTTCTGGTGTCGGCGATGTGAGAGAGAGCGAAAGTATGGAGAAGATGGTGGATCGGACGATCAATGCGACGATTGTGCTCGCCGCTGGTACTTACGCCATCACCAGATTGCTCACCATTGATCAGGATTACTGGCATGTGAGTTGATTTTCACGTCGTTTGATCGTTGCGAGTGTCGAATTTTTGTCCTCGTTTGAACGTGTGATTGTTGTGGTGTTTTTGTACTAGAATTTCATCTGCAATTTAACACTGAGCGATTTCGGTTTTCGAATTGTTTTTGAATGAATTTCTCTTTCTTCCTTCCTTTTTATCCTTCTAAGATTCGGAAAAAGAAAAGGAACTTTTTGTGTTTAACTTTTCTTCATTCCATCGGCTTTTGTATTCTATATTCTTCTTTGGTTTAGGCACTGGAGTTTTGAAATCTGGTATTTTTAGCCTTTTGATTATCCATTTGTTGCTCTAGAAATTAGTCAATGGGAGGAGCTTTGGGATGCTCTTACTTTTTTTTTATTATTTTTTTATTTTTTATTAAGGGAGTTTGCATTTAACCTACGTTAGAGAAACAAAACAGACAATACAAGGCTCACGCCTATCGGAGGAGGACAGATGTACTCCTAAGGCTCGAAAATGGGAGAAAACCTCGACACATTAAGAACGAGCACATTTAGGACTCGATTTGAAAAAACTCCTCCCATCTAATGGAAGCTTTAACTTTTTTTTTTTTTTTTTGATAGTTATGGAAGATTTAACTTTGGGGGGGTTAGGAAGGGTTTTTTTTTTTTTTTTTGATAGTTATGGAAGATTTAACTTTGGGTGTGTTAGGAAGTGTTTTTTCTTTTTTCTTTTTTCCTTTGGGTGCTCGCGCTTCTTGAAATTGAAAATGGAGCAGCCTAAATTAATTAAATCAAATTAAAGGGACAGAGGAGATGAGTTTGCTAACCAAAAAAAGAAAAAGCAAAAAGGAACTAGAGGATCTACATGTGCTTAATAGCTTATTTGTGATATGTAATGTTGAAGAAAAAATCTTTTGCAACGAAAGCAGGATGAAGAGATGGTAATTGCTGTGGTGGTCAATTAGCTAGAATTAATTTAACTCTTATTACCTTGTGATTTGATTATCTCGATTTTTCTTCCAGGGATGGACCCTTTTTGAAATACTAAGATATGCACCTCAACACAACTGGAGTGCTTACGAGGAAGCTCTTAAAACAAACCCAGTTTTTGCCAAAATGGTGATTAGTGGAGTCGTATATTCTGTAGGAGATTGGATAGCACAGGTTCTTATCATGTGCCGAGTTGAAAACTTATATCTTGGTTTTGGTTAATAATATCTTCTATAGCATTCTAAACTTTTATATCTCATAATGTTGCAGTGTTATGAAGGGAAACCTCTGTTTGAGTTTGACCGTGCACGAATGTTCCGATCGGGTCTTGTTGGATTTACATTGCACGGTTCCCTTTCTCACTATTATTACCAGTTTTGTGAGGTGATCATTGTAGTTTATATTCTTTTGATATTTTTCCTTATTCTCTATACTTTTTGTTCTTCCATAATCTTTTTAAACTACTTCATTTATTTATTTATTTATTTTTTTCCATTTGGCGTGTCCTCAAACTACTTTCTATGGTTTCAGGCGCTTTTTCCTTTCCACGACTGGTGGGTGGTTCCTGCAAAAGTTGTCTTCGACCAAACTGCATGGTCAGCGGTTTGGAACAGCATTTACTACACAGTTTTGGGATTTTTGCGGCTTGAATCCCCAGCAAGTATTTTTAGTGAATTGAAGGCGACTTTCTGGCCAATGCTTACTGTGAGTTAAATTTGTTCTCTTTTGACCGTATCTTTTCATTCTTCCGTGTCATTAGGTCAAAAGCCAATCTTTATAATTTTTTCCGTGGAGGTTGGAAGAGTCGTGCAGCACATCTATAGAATTCTTCACTAATATCAAGTCATTGTTTCTTATTGTGTTTTTCGTTTTTCATTTTTTTCCCCCTCTGCAGGCAGGGTGGAAACTTTGGCCATTTGCTCATCTAATTACCTACGGTGTAGTCCCGGTAGAACAAAGGCTTTTATGGGTGGACTGCGTAGAGCTTATTTGGGTTACTATACTCTCAACGTGAGTATCTATAATATATATTTTTAATCACATCCAAAACTTATTTTGGAAGATTGAATAGTTTTTGGGAATTGTCTTTCGTCCTAGAGAAACTGGAACTACAATATTACTTACTTTAATACTGCTAAAAACAGTTCAGTTACACTGGGCTCTTCTTCCTTATCCTTTCAGTTTTTCCCATAATCGACTCATAATCTAGAGATTTTATCCTTTTCAGTTTTTCCCATAATCGACTCATAATCTAGAGATTTAATCCTGTACATCTGATGAAGCTAATCTATCTACTATCCCTAATATCTCTTGTTTATCTAATTTGATAGGAAACATCTTTTTTATTTTATTTTTTATTTTTAAAGAAAGACCTTGTTCCAACTGGTTTCAGTATTTTCGTTTTATGCCTATGGTCAACATAACTAGTATACGTATTGTTAGCCCTTTGCTTTGGTGTCGTTGTTCGTTTTTTGGTTACGTTCTATGCTTCTATCTATTTCTAACAATAATCACACATTTGTCTGCTAGTTATTCAAATGAGAAATCAGAAGCAAGAATTTCTGAGGCACCAGTGGAAGTCAACCTCATTTCGTCAAACGTGACCCCTCCTGAGGTATGTTTACCAACTTCTTAAAACACCCCTCTTATCTCGGAGTTGTATTATATGTATTCATTTCCTGTTAACTTTTTTATTACCATCCATCAGGAGTAAAACAGAACGGAAACAAGCCGGTACAGGAAAGAGTAGAAAAAGGATTTGAGTTGGGAATGAAATTCATTTGATGAGGAAACCATGTCTGGAGAAGAAACACATCACAATTCAAGAGTGTGGTTGGGCTGGCTGGTTATGGTATCGGTTGCCGGGGACTAGCTTATGTATGTTATAAGATGGCGTTGTCTTCCTCGGCATATGTATGTATCCATATCATTGGTATATATTTTTAATATGGTGCAATTCAACTGTAAAAGAAAAAAAAATTGACGTCATTCAATGCCTGAAAATTGAAACCTTCGGGAGAAATAAATCTCTTTTCTGTAATTTATACACAACTTGCCTCATCTTTGATGTTTCCTATGATAGAGACTCATATAGAATAAGCATATTGAGGTGAGATTTGGGCCAACTAATTACCAACCCTTCCAATTCTCGTTATGCTTATTTTTTTTGAGGTTTTTGAAATTCTAGAGAAGTTCTCATGCATCAGTAATGAACTTCCAAACCTATGTGTGCATCATAAATAGGACAAAGTAAGCAGAGATTTTAATCTATCCAGTTCGATGACATGCTCTTTCCAAGAAGAAGATAGAACAAGCAACAAAAACTTTTGTCGTCGAATTTGGTGATTATCTTCTTCAGAAGGAGTTGGAAAGCTTTGTGCTGTGGACCAAAAAAGAAAAAAAAAAAAAAAAAACTGTACAGTAGATTTAATATGGTTAAGCTCATCATCATCATCATCATCATCGCTGGAGTTATAAACATCTTATCTCCGTCTTAACAAATAGTTATCACGCTCAAGTTTCTTCATCTAAAGTAGCACTGGCTCAAACATTGCATTAAGCAATGAAGAAGCTCAGCAATTTGCTTCATGAGTGTATACTTGAACAGTAGAAATACAGTATGATAGAGAATTTAAACCGTAAAAAATGTTCAAACAGTCTTGAGAGAATTCTGAAGGAAAACTAGACGATGCCTCACTAAAAACTTTGTACGGTAAACCTGGACAAGGTAAAAAGAGTGCATGATTGTTGCAAAATATATATATATATATATATATATATTATTCGTACTGAAAGATGTACAGACCAATTCCATCATGAGCAATGAAAGAGAGAATAAACTCTTAAAGCAAAATTGCACCACTTGACTGTGTCAGAAATGTCAGTTGCAAGAAGCAAGCTTGTCATCCATCTAATTGCCTTCTGAAAATATGACACATTCTATTAGTAATCTTACTTAATTTATCAGTAATCTCCTCTCACCATACATTCAGCTGCACTTTAAATGTCATTCATTTTTTATTTTCAAAAATTAATTATATGCAAATGACAGATCATAGCAGATATGTCTCAAATTATAAATGTCAGAATTAGTCGCCAAAAAGGCGAAAAGCAACACGCTTAGAACTATATGAATATGTTTTATAACACTAGACCATATGATGATATGAATGCAAATATTTATATGCTAGGAAAATGAAAGCAAAAGAAAAGAAAACAAAAGAGAAAAAGAAGTCTAGTTGTTGTATTCTAAAATAAGTTAATTAGCACCAAATGGTTAAGAATTAGTCAGCAGCCATAAGCTACTTAATTTTGGTAGAAAGAACAATTCCATTGTTAGCAATTCAGGGAGAGAAACAGCGGTGGCCTGACGGTCACTTCCGCCTGCTTCCACATTTTGATCATCTTTTTCGTAATGATCAGAAGTTGTTGATATTATTTCTACCAACTGTTCACATCGAAAGACAACAATATCTTCCAGATTTTGGGAGCGGGGCTTTGATGAACAGTCTCTTTATGTTCTCACAATTACACACTCAATTTCTTAAGAGATGAAAAGGTGCCAGGTGAAAATGGTGACGACGCTATACATGTTTTCCCGTCTGATCGGCCCTCGTAGGTCCCACATTGCCTCAAGGTCCAATACCTCGAGCTTTTAAAGAAGACGAATGATGCTCGATAGATGAATACAAAACTAAATGCTTTAGCACCCGCCCACACCTTCAGATACATCACTGCCTCAAGTTTGTTGCATTTTCGTATGATGCGAGCTCACATATAAAATGCTTGCATTAATGCAGCATCTCTCTCTCTACAACCAGGATCTCAATGTTGTGAAGGAGCAATAGTGAGCAATCTTTCTGGTTTTCTAAAGTAGATTAATTCCTCCACTCTTACTTTTGCTCCACATTTTTGATCAAGAGAAAGGCACCGAGGATTCGTTTGCTTGCATAAGATCCCATCGGGTATTATCTCTAACTTACACCCATCAAATTCAAGGAATCTCAACTTAATTAAGTTTTGCATGCCTTGATGTGCTTGTTTGATTCCTGAATCCACAAAATCCAGCTCTTCAAAGCTGTTAGTTTTGCTAAAGATGGCACATATGTCAAGTTATGACATCTTTTAAGCAACAGTACAGTAAGTCTCACCAACTCAGAGATTGATTCCGGAGGATTCTCAATAGAAGTTTCAGACAGATCAAGAAGACTAAGACCCTTCATATGAAGAAAAAAGTTGTTTGCAACGTTTCTCAACGAATCGTTCTTGTTTAGCAACAATGTTGAAAGCTTAGGACAATTTGGTGATTGAAAACTTGGAAGGGATATTTGATATAGCATTGTGCATCAACGAAACTTTTGCAAGATCCTCTTTCCAATTTTCTTCATTAGGAACACATTTCAGTCCCATCCCGGCTTCTACCAAATATTGAGGGCTCTCACTCATAATTTCTAGTGCCGTGTCCCGTATCAAATCATGCATCTTCACAGCGCCACTTGTATCTGCCAATAAGCAAGCATGCGAGTTTGTTTAGCATTGCTTGTCCTCTTTCCATCGCTGGTTGACTATTTCTTCGTTTAACAATTTCCTCAACAATCAAATACTCTATCAACACGCGTCTTTCAATTGCGTGATCTTCAGGAAATAGGGCATAAGTGAATTTCAACTTCTCAAATATTTGTTAGTCCCTTTTGTAGATGTCTTCAGATCTTCTAGTGCTGTCTTCCAGTTATTATAATCAACAATACCTTTTAAGCTTCCTACTATCGTAAGAACTCCAAGGGGAAAACAAGCACATTCTTTTGCCACCGAATACACGATTGCTTCCAAGTTTGGGATGGATAGAACATCACGGCCAACTGTATCCAAGAACAAGCTCAATGCCTCCATTTCTGACAGACGCTCCATTGGGATTGCATCGCAACTAATTCCGAGGCACCTTTTTTAATCTTATAAAACTTTTTCTGGGTTTTGAATTGATGCCAATTTCTTTTTCGGTAACCTAGTCTATTCATATCTCAATTTGAAGTTCCTAAAGCGAGCTACTTTATGTCTTACTTAGAACATATTACTATATACTCTATTCCAAACTGCGTGAACACATTGAGAAGTTGAGTTGTCAATATCAGCTTGCTTCCATTTTGATGACTACGCTATGAGATTCCTACTTCATCAAGATGCCTTTCTTTCGAGAGTTCAACTCTTCCATTTTTTGCCTCACAGTTTTCATGTTATCCTTGAGGCTTTTATGATACTTCCAACATCTGGAAATTGGTGCTGATATCCATTGTACAGGTTGAATTGTAATAACCAGCACTTGGTATGATATTATCCGCTTTAGGGTGAGCTTGTATGATTTTGATTTTGGACTTCACCCTAAAAGGCTTTATATCATTAGGAGGTGGTGTCATTCCTTATAAGTCATCATCTATGACCATCCTTAGGTGACTTGAGACTGCAAAATTTACCCTTTCTTCGACCTCTTGCCTAAAGGGATTGATGAGTATCACAATCACCCCACCTGCTCTGAAATTATCTGTAATGATTCACACATCCACTTAGTATGATATTATCCTCTTTGGGCCTAAGCCCGCATGGATGAACTTTTAGGCATGCTACTTATTTATCTTTCAATCAGTTGAACTAGATTGCAAATAGGCATTTCAGACTTAGCTAAACAAATCAAAAGTTTCAATATTACAAAGTTAATATATTTGTGATCTTGAATCAGATGGACGTGGTAGCTTATCTCGACATTTAATCGCTTCTTAGTTTTTGTTGAATTTTTCCCACATCGCTAAATTACTGGGCTACTGAGATGTATATATGTTGTTGTGGCACCTTCTTTTTGTAACGCCCTCTAAAATTAAACATGTTTAATTATGTTAAATTGTGAGTTATTAGTTAGCCTAATTTGATTTTCACAATTAATCAAAGAACTTTAAATTATTTTCAATATTTATGATTTCACCCCAAAAGTTTTTGAAAATACACTTAAATTTTAATACATTTTCCTTTTTCTATTTTTCCCTTTTTCCTTTTTTTTTTCCTTTTCTTTTCTTTTTCCTTTTTCTTTTTTTCCTTTTCTTCTTTTTCCTTTCCTTCTTTTCCTTCCCGTGACTGCAACCTCTCTCTCTCTTTCTTTCTTTCGTTTTCTTTTCTCTCTCTCTCTGGTTTCACCCACATCTCTCTCTCTCTCTCTCTCTCTTGGCTTGGTGGCGAGTCCCACAAAAAAAAAAAAAAACAAAACAAAAACGAGAGAAATGGAGAGAAACAAGCTTCAATCACTTTGAGGTAAAGATTTCTTGAAAACTCATACTTGAATTTGAGTTATTGATTTGAGAATTTGAAATTTTGGTTAGATTTGAATAATTTTGAGTTAGGGTTTGAATTTGAACAATTGTTGTTAGAATTGAATTAAATTTGAGGGTTTTCAGTTATAGGACTTATTGAATTGATTGGAAACCGGTTTTGATGATTTATGGAGAATTTATTTTAAAATTGAACTTGAATTGCAGGTTTGACATTTTTCCTATTTATGCCTGCATGCTACCAAAATTTCTTTAAAAACTTGTTTTTAAGCTAAAATTAAATAGGAAACCAAACCCATGAATTGGATTTCAATTTTTAAAGAACCCCCAAACTGAATTATAAAATCGTTTGTGAAACTTAGATTTGAGTCAAGGCACACTAATAGGAAACAATTAAACATGAATGAGCTTAATTTGTTTTAGGAATGAGAAATATATTCTAAGATATTGCTTTTGTGATAAAGCTAGTGGAGAAGATCGAGTATTGAAGCTTTAAGGAAAGCGGATGCTAGGGTAACGAGAAGTTAGCCACAGGTTTGACATCCGAGAGGTAGGATTTTCTTGTCCATATCCTTGTTAGTCTTACTTTAAATGATTTTGGCCAATGAAAAATGTTTTAGAACAAAACGTGCTTTAAGAAAATGATTTTAAAGGAAATAGCTTGAATTATGCTATTGAGTTTCCAATGATTTTGGAAATGAGATTTTAAAAGTATCATTTCATTTTAAGAAATGATAAAACGCATGGTGGCCACAGAGATCGAGATATGAGAATCGTATCCTTAGGGGCCGGTCCCGAAACCC